TGGGGGCCTGGCAGGCTGTGGGAACACCATCCTGCCTGATGCTCTGTGCAGGAGGAAGCCTGACCTGTAATGCACAAAGCTCACCCTCCCCAATTTCCTTTTTGCCTTGAAGAAAACGCAGAGCTGTTCCCTCAGAGAAATACAAGCCTTGAGTCAGTGGGCATAAGGCAGAATGCTGACAGCCCCTTGCCTAGAGATACCCACCCGGCCCCAGAACTGGGACCAAGGCTGATTTAAGGTCCCAGGGCTCTGCCGGGGCGCACTGCCACTAGAGGTAGCTCTGCACCCGCAAACACGCACTCGAAGGAGTCCTGCGCAACCCTCGCACATGCAGCCGGTCCCGCCTGCTGCATCCAGAGCCGGTGGAGGTTACCTGCTCTGCCCCATCTCACCTCCCAGCCTGGCACCCACAGAAGCAGCAACAAATCCTTGCTGAGGAAGAACAGGAGCTCTCCATTGCCTGAAAGTGTGTAGCAGTGAGATGCTTTAAGGCCCTCCTTGCCTCTTCTCAAATCCTGAGGCTGATGGGACATTTGGAGCCTTCTCAGCACAATCCAGGGATTATAAACAGCACTGGAGTCTCAGGATCGGGCCCAGAGCATCGCTTCATGCCATGCTGTCTACAGGCACCTCTCTGTGGGGCATTGTGAACTGGGGATACAGCGCTGCACCTAGAAATAGGCAACGATACTGGGTCCCTGTAAGCATCACTGCAAAGAGCTGCCAAGCAGCCAGGCCAGTCCTCTGCACAAATAAAGCTCTTTGCTGTACAGGGATACCACCTAGCACCATCCCTGGCACCCCTCCTCCTGGAGCCCAGGAATGTCCTTGCACCCCAGTGTGCACACAATGACCATACTGGGCAGACCCATTGATGTCTTCAGGGGCCCAGCACAGCCTCTACCCCTAGGGCCTTGCAGCCCACAGCAGTAGCCCTGGAGCTGTCCCAGGCTCTTCGTGCCTCAAGAGGAGCCCACAGCTGGCCAGGAGCACCCAGCTCCGGTCCTGGCTGGACTGGGGTCCCTCCCAACGCTTCCTGATTCCCCAGCCTTGTTCAGACCTGCTTGAAAAAGCAAACTCCAGCTGCTCTCTGTGCCTCAGATCTCACCTCTGCTTATCCCCATGGGCTGTGCCCTTCTGTTTGCTAGTGGGGTCCTGTGGAGACATGGAAAGCTCAGCCCAGGGAAAGAGCCATCAACCAGGACTCCTCCGCACACACTGCTAAACATGGGGCGAGGTGAGCCCGGCTGCCTCCCCATGCTTGGACCTTGGGCACCAGAGGCTCCTGCGAGCAGCCAGCATGGAGCATCCCAGGTTGGCATCTGCTCAGAGCTGCTCTCCTGACCATCAGCCAGGGCAAGGCAAGGAGCCCCAGAGCATCTCAGGTGTGTGCAGGTCTCCTTGCCCTGCACCCAGTCCCCTGTGCTACCAAACCTGAGACCTGCATGAGCCCACAGCATCGTTCCATTCCACAACAGACAGCACCACCCGAATCGCTGTCTGTAGCTGCTGCTTGACAGAAGTGGCAAATCTCAGCCGTACCTTCTTCAAGGGCCTTGCATGGACAGGGACACCAACTTCAGTCTGGCTCTATTTCCATCAGGCTCTGAGAGAGAAGCAAGGATAGGAAGTTTTTGAGCTGTCTTGGAAGTATTTGACCCACTCTGGCATTCAAATCTTAACCAGGTCTGTGAGCCTGGAAATGCTCCGAAACCCAGGACATGCAGGAACACCCAAACACGGGTGCTTCTTGTTTCCTTAAGGCACACAGCTCAGGCAGGGCTGGAGCTGAGCAGCCTGCACTCTCTGCTCTGCGGTCTCTGGTTACAGAAGTAAACATTACCCTGGGCTCCCAGGAGTTCCAGCTCCCCCCACACCACGATAGCCTCACTGGATCTACCCTCCCATCACCAGCAGCCACAGCAGGGGCTTCAGGTCCCAAACCTCTTAGGCAGGCCTGTGTACTCCCCTGTGACCCCTACTCTCTCTTTTGCTGCATCAGAGGGAGGAAGAGAGGGCTCCTACCCAGAGTGATCCATGGAAAGCATCCCTACAAAGCCACCCCAAGCAAGGGGCTTCACACCCACGTTTCAGCACAAGGAATAGCATCACAGCTGAGCCCACTCCCCACAGAAACCAAGTGTATTTGTTCAATTAAAGGAAAACATTCAGCTGCAACAATAGCCACACTGCACTGCTGGTAGATTATTAACAGCCTGGCCTGCTTTCTGCTGCAGCCAGCTATTCCCAGGGCATGGCAGAGACTGCAGTGCCCAGGGAGAAGTTTAAATGCAACCTAAAGATCCCAGCTACATCAGTATTGCATGGTGATGAAGGGTTATCCAGAAACTGTGCCATAATACCACACACCGAAACCCCACCACTTACAGCACACAGGGCAGGCCAGCACTGCAGCATGCAAGAAGGAGGGGGGGGGGGGGAGCAATTTGTGCAAAGAGAGCAAATAGTCTGAATTAGGGGAAAATGCAAATAAACTCCAATATAAGCCTGGTATCTGGGCAGAGGGAAGGGTGTGCTGTGGAAGGAAGTGGGGTTTGGGAGCTTCAGCTACCTGGGCATCCAGGGTGTAGCACCACACATGCACACTGCCATTTGGGCCCCAAAACCTTAGTATTTAGCCTTAAAATGTGAAAAAAAAAACATGTAGAAAGCAGCTCAGCCCCTTGTAGAGTCCTCTCTGCAGGTAGCAAATGAAATATGAGAGGGCTGGAGCCCAGCCTGTGCATCTGAGGGGAAAATACTGAGCCAGTTGTGAGGCATCTGCTTTGTTTGGGGCAAGATGGATAAAACCCTGCAAATGTCCCAAAAGCAAAGGGTGGGGAGGGCGGCCCTACCAAATCTTATTCCCCCAGACCCTCTGCTAGATGGGGATGTGCTCAGTTTCACAAAAAGATAGCCCATTTTGTGGAGCCTTTGAATATTCAAATTGAAAGTATCGCGCAATCATTGATTGTCAAATCATTGGTTTCTAGAGGTTTTAAATACTTGGCATTAGGAGAGAAAAACTCAAACTTATACCCGTAGGGATAAAACAATAATATTGTCGGGATCCACCTGTCATTGCTGCCAGGCAGGCAGGTCCCTTCGCCCCCAAATTTCAAGCCTGTCTCCTCTTGCCCCCTTCACCTGCTCTGGGGCCGGGGCCAGGGCCACCACTGCTGCTGCACCAGGCGCCCGGGGAGGTGCTGCCCACTCCTGCTCAGGATGTCCGGTAAGCCCGGCTGCGCCTCCTCCCCTGTATCCCCCCGCCACCCCATTCTGGGGCTGTTTCGGGGCTCGCCGGGGTCACTTCGCGAGTGAGGCAATCGCCTCCCGGCCGAGGAGCACTCGGCAGGGGAGGGCGGGGAGGAGGAGGGAAGGAGGCGGCTGGGAAGCGCTGTTGCTGCCCGCCAAGTGCCAGCCCCGGCCGGCCAAGGGGCCGCCGCCGCGGGGCAGCCGGCGGGGCCGGAGGGCAGCGGGCAGGGCTGGGGGGAGCCGGGGCGCCGCTCGCCCTCCGGCAGCCATCCCCGTGGCTTCCCGGCGGGGAGGCGCTGCCGTCCCGAGCCCTGCGGCGGGGGAGGGAGACGCGGTCCCCGCACCCTCGTCCTCTGCTTCTCTGTGCCTTCCCCGTTCAGCTCTTGACCCTAAGCCTGGCCCGACAGCCCCCTGCCCCGAGCCCACCCGGACACACAGCATGAATTTATCGCCCTGTTCCTGATCCCCACGCTGACCCCCTGCACACCCTCACCACCCTGCTCCTAGAACCCCAGCCCCAGCTAAATCACCCTGCTCCTTCCATCCACAGCCTGGCTGTGGCAGCCCTGCTCTTGATGCTTCAGCTGCACAAGACTGCGCTGGGGCCTTAAAGTGCTGGAAAAGCAGGATCCTTGGGGCACAAAGCTCTGCCATGGGAACCAGGGGTGGGAGCTCTCTGATACCCAGCCCCTAGGTTACAGATGTGTCTTTACCTCATCTGCTGGTTTAAGTTCCTCATAGTGTGCTACCTGTGCAGATCAGAGCTGAGGCTGTATGTAGCATGTACTCCTCTTACAGCTGTAGCTCCCTGGCTATAGGGAGGCCTGGTTTCTTAAATTCAACCCTTTCCTCCCCTCATTTTCCCCATCTTCAGTTTGTTGAATAGAAACAAACCAGAAAAAGGTGAATAATCTCCAGCTGCTGGGAGCACAGCTCAGCATACTCCCCTCGAGGCAGACCTAGCTCAGCCTGTCACCTTTCCGGAGGGACCTGTATGCCTGTTACAGCACGTCCTCACCCAGAGTACCAAGGGGGCAGAAGGAGGGCTGGCCGGACAGGAGGATGAAGCTGTAGAGAAAGGTTAACAGCAGAAGAGCATATGCAGGTGGACCCTGCAAATCCAGCTCTATCTTCTTGCTGCCGCAATAGGATAGGGGACCTGCAACCTGCTGCCTTCACTAGGGAGCAGCCGACTGCAGGATGAAACAACACTGGTGTTTGGTGTCTGTTTTGGCCCCATCCCTGCCAGCCGTGGCATGTTGTGGTGAGAGGATGAGACAGTTGCCTAGGGTCTGCAGTGCAGGAGATGGGCACTGAAGAGCAGCCAGGATCTCTTCACAGGTCCTCCGTTCTGCTGCTTGGTGCAGCTGCCTCGGCGAGTGTGTTGTTCCACGTCCCAGAGGTGGCACTGGAAGGCCAGGTTTTGCTCTGGCACTCGTTTCCTCCTGTGGGTTTGATTTCTGCTGCCTCCTTCAGGGTGTGAATGTCAGCTGCCTGCGATGTTGTTTGGTTAATACAGAGAGTAGCTTTGGGTGTTTTACCGCGAGTAGAGCAAGTGAAAGTGATTTTTCACAATAAGTAAATTCTTTACCATTTCCTGTACTGAAAAGCCCTCATCAGGTAGTGACTGATGATGCTGACTGGGTTTGGCTGGATTACAGACATCCTAAATGCTTGTTTGAAATCAATGGGTGTTGTACAGAATGAGCAAAAGACAGAGATAATCTAGGCTTTGCAAGAAGTGATTCATGAAAGCAGTCATTTTATTTGGGTTTTGTTTAGACCTCTGAGTAACTGCCCACATTTTTCCATTGTTTTGTTCCTGGTCCTCATCTGCCAGATGAAGGGCTTGACAGATTTATTTTCAGGTCCTAAGGGAGACAAATATGATAGGAATTTTATATAGATTCAATAAATTAAAATACCAAGCACCAGATGGAGCTTGGTATTAGTACACCAGGGAGGGGGGGGGAGACAATGCAATAGGAACAAATAAAACACATGTGATTACCGAATATAATCAACACCATCTTTTCCAGAAATGTCTGTTTGCCGCAGGCTTGAAAAGCAGGCATTGAAGAGGGCTATAAACTGTGATTACAAGTGACTTATCAATGACAAGTTAATCATGTTTGCTCTAAGTAGACTCCATGTAAAGCATGACTGAAAAAAAAATGCTTTATTTGCTCTAGGTTTTGAAAGTCTTCAATCTTAAGTATTTTTTCCCACACATACTTTCAGGAAAGCCCAAGGTATATCAAGGTGTTAGAGTAAAGATTACAGTTAAGGAGTTACTGCAGCAGAGAAGAGCACGACAAGCAGCAAGCAGTGCAGCAGTAAGTAAAACTCTTGTGGTGTCTGCCTTGTCTCTTAATCTTTCTCTCCAAGACTGTAATCTCTGGGTCAAGTAGACTGCCTGAGTGTAGCAGGCTGGTGAATTTGGGGGAGAAGAATATTCAGCCAGAGTAAATGCAGCAGTGATCCAAACACAACATAAATCATCACTTCTTTGGTGACAAGTCTTTAGTGCGGGGAGAAAGCAGAACTGGTGCTTCAGAAACATAACTCACTCTGCAACAAAAGGGCCAATATGGGCAAGTTTTGGTCCAACAGCAACTCCGGTATCATTACATTGGATAAGCAAGGCAGGCCATGGTAACTGCCCCCCATGTAAAATATGGCATAGTCAGGCTGAAGCAACAGCCCCAAAGTTTGTCTAGCAGAAAGGAAGAAAACAAAGCATGGGCAAAGACCCCTTAAGCAAGGCTCCATCCTGCTCCATTAGGGCTCCTTAGCATAGTATTCAAGTATACTCAACTAAATTCAGGTCTCTAATGTTTTTCAGTACCATCTGGGCAGCTCGTAGCCCCATCCCTTCTAAAGGAGGGGATGGAGATCTGTGTGTGTACACACACATGCACTCTCTCACTTTTCCAGTCTTTGTAGGAGTCCTCTAGCTCCAGCCACTCTTAGGGATTTGCATAAAGAGCTTGGTAAATCATTACCTCTTCCTGGTTCATGACATTACAGCTTTGGATAGCTTTCAGATTTATCTCCATCTCCTGCACCTCATTGCAGCTGACTGCATAGAAAGCTGATCAGCCTGCAACCTACAGGCAGGGAGGCCTGGGTGAACAGTACACAGAAGTGCTTGGCTTTAGAGATGCTGGGCTACTCCTCCCCTCCAGCCCTAACAGAATTAGCCTCTCCATCACAGCAGATGTCACAGGCTGCATGGAACTGGTTTTTGCTCCCCATAGCAAGTTTACACAGCATTTGTTTTGCCCACACAGGAAAAAGTGGCAACGCAGGAGGTTGCCTTTGTGCTTTCCAAAAGGTATGCATTGTCTTGGAGAGGCCCCATAGGTTAGGGCTGGCAGGATAAGCTACCTCTGTGCACTGAGAAAAGCTGAAACTGGAAACTTCTGCTGCCAGTGGTATAGCTATGTCTGCCTTGTTACGTAGCTACAGCCAAAGAGAGGAGGGGTACTCCTGTGGGTACTTTCAGTCCAGAATAGCTGCTATTTAATGAATTAAATGCATGGGGATGAGCTAGGAAGTTGTTGCTGGAGAAACGAGCCACTCATTTTTAATAAAGGAAACTAAATGGAAATTGTATGAATTAAAACTGAGGGGGAAAAAAACCCAACCCAGTATTTGTATTTACAGACTAAAATCCTGACCACAAAAGTGATAGGAGTTTTGATGCTTGATGTTTGGGGATTTCTTTACTATGGAAGGTTGGATTCCTAAAACAATTGATCTGTCTGCTCCAGCTTCCAGCATCCCTTACAAAATGAGACTGTCTAGTTTCACAGAGGCACGTAGCTGTGTTAGAGTGGGGAGCAATGGCAGAGCTGGTTCTCAAATGACATCAATCCCAAACACGGCGATCCAGTCTGGTGCCCAGCCACAGGGATACCTGCAGTTGTCTTTAGTTATGTTTCAAGAGTTATCCCTACAATTTGTTAACTACTCTCAATCATATTTATCCCTACAAATTCTTTGGGATCCCTCCACTATGGATTGTGGTCCTAGAAATTAATGTGTTAATTTCAAAGGGAGCCACATCTCTACTGAATCAACAGGAATAGGGAGAGCACCCTAACAAGGTGCTCTTGATAGAGCTTTACACCAAGCTGGTGTTGTGCTCCTCCAGCGCCATTAAAGGCTCAAGAAAAAATCATGTTATGCACATTAATCTGTTAATGCTAGGGAAGTTTTCCATATTACACCCACCAGGTAAATAAGGCTTACATAAATATGTTGAAGAGAAATCCGACTTACCTCAGCACACAGAAGAGCGCTCTCCTATGTTACAGTATCTGCAATTCCTTTTCTTCCCTTCTCTTTGGTCAGGTTTCCTGGGGCAGCAGCAGCATCCAGTTTCCAGAGTCTGTGTCTCCACCTCACCCAGGTTGGTACAAAGCCCATCCACATGTCCCTTCCCACCCCCTTCCCAATTTTTCCCACAGCCCAGAATCTTTCCAGCCCTTGGTTGAGGCAGGCACCACCAGATAACAGGCAATGCAGCCAATCAGCGCCTGAAAGGAGCGCACAAAATGCAGATGAGGATCCTGTGAGGCCAGCAGGGTACATATTACCCCATTCAGGAGCACGATCACATGCTCTCAGTTGTGCAGTTTATTTTCCTACAGCAAGGAGAGAGGTCTCCTTCAATAAGGGATGCTCATCCCCTAGGGAATAACACTGCTGGCATCACCGTCTCCAGGCTCCAGTCTGTGGGTCTGAATGGATCTAGAGGGTCAGATTGCACTGGAGCACTTTGCTGAGCTCCAGCAGCTGGCTGTTCTCACTTTCCTGGCAGCATCCATGGGAGCAAGAGGAGTGTCAGGTTTTCAGCAACACAAAGAGTTTCTTCCTCCTCTATGTGAATATCCAAGGAAAGTGGAGAGGGGTGGAGGGTATAGCAGCTTGAGCGTACAGATCCTTCAATTATTCTACAGCCAAAGCAGAGACCTAAAAGGTTGGGCAGGTGTGGATATATACATTGTATGGACATCCATCAATATTTAGGAATCGATTTGCTTATGCTAATAAAGAACTGTGAGACATACCACAGCTTTTTCAGGCTGGAAAGTCTCCATCTGTTTATGTATCGTTCCTTCCTCCTCCCCACATCCAACTAAACACTGCCACGCTGAGCTTGCAAACTACTGGGACTCTGGGTGACTCTCTACCTATGTGCAGTTCCATTGCCTTCAGGCCTGTGCCCCTCCATGTGGACAGACTTTGCTTTTAACCATATTTGAACGCAGCATGAAAAGGTGATCATTCTGAAGAGTCAGATATGCTTTCATACCCCAGCAAGAGCGTTGCAGTACGTTGAGAATCTGACCCTATGGCTTTCTAGGAACTCACTCATAACACTATGTGGGTGCAATGCCACGTTATCATTGACTTGCTCCATTTTGTCTGCTCAGAGGTTTGTCTCCTGACTGCCTGTTTGGAGTATTAAAGAGCAAATTGTTCTCCTGTTACGCTCTTCTTCCTCTAGATGTAGCTACCTTGCATCTGAAGACTGGGTGAGGCAAAAGCGCAAGCCATCTGCCAAGCTGTGAAGCATAAATCACTGCATGGTAAACTTCTAGGTCTGTAAACAGCTGACATTTGAAGGGAGGCTAGAGGATCAAGAGTCTGAGGGAGTTTCCAGCTGGATCCCTGTCTGAAACGGCTGGAGCCAGAATTGTTTCCAGCCGTATTTACAGATTTTTGGAGCTTTCCAAAGGGACTAGATTTCCCCAAGTTATTTGCATGCTTTTGATCATTTTCCTTCTAGTGTCTGCTTCCCTAGAATATTCACCCTGAACTGGAAGGACCTTTTTCTTTGTCTAAATCTGTAGGGCTACTGAACATATGAGAATACTGAAACCTGACCTGGGGCAACACCTGCCCTTTGTGAAGACATAATCTGCTACTGTCTGGTTTACCTTCTCTCCTAGGACTTTTTGATGCAGAACCCATCTCTTCTGTTCCCAACTATTGTCCATCATGGCAGTTTTCAAATTGCCTCTCCTGTGAAGAAAGCCCTAGCTATTTGGAACAACTGGTAGATTCCTGTCTTCAGACAGATGCACCCTCAGACCCAGCCTTCAGTGGTTTCCAGACGTCCTCACACTACACCTCGGATGCCTTCCAGCCAGTCTCACACTGCTTTAACCAGGGCCTGGTAAGTTTTGTGTCTCAGGGGAACAGAACAGGGAGGAATGTCCTTTCTACAGATCTGCAGATTTTCTGCAAAGGATAGCCCACTTCCTGCTAGGGGTTCTCTAACTCACAGACAAGCTCCCTATTAACACTAATGTCACAGGAACTCTTGCATTTAAGCTTCCAAGGGCCAAGCCATCTCCCCGGCTAGCCAGACCCCCCCAAGAAAGGTGATAGCATTGAAACCCTGACAGCTGTCCACATGTCCCCAGATGGCACCCTGAAACATCCTGTGTTTTGTTGTTTGTTTTGTTTTTTCTTTCATTTTCTCTCAAACTCTAGGCTGCTGAATCCCCCAGTTCGGCTGATCTGTCCAGCCCATTGAACTATAGCTGCTCTCCTCCTCAGCTGTCTCCTTTCACGCCACTGACCCACAGCCCACCCTCTGCTCTGGATTCCGAGACTTACAGCTACCCTGCGGAGGAATGGTCCTGCCATACCCCCTCCGCATACACCACCTCTGCCTGCTGCTGCACTGCCTATGGCTCCCAGCATGGGGACAACAGGGTCCCGCAGTACTTCCCCTGCTCCAGCACGGACTGCATGGACTACCTACCACCCATGGCCATGGCCGATGACTTCTTCAGAAGGGATAGGAACTGTGACATCTGCTATAGCTAATGGGGACTGTGGTTTTACACATCCACTGTATCCAAATCAGATTAATTGCCCATGAACTATGCAAAGCTGTGCTGCCTAACACAGTTCAGTTTATTCTTCACTACTCACACATTTTCTACATGACACTGGCACTACATTAATCCTCCTGTCTCATATGGTCAGGGGTATCGGGGTGTTTTGTTGTGGTGGTGGTGGTTTGGGGTTCTTTTGCTGCCTTACCAAACACATGTAATTAAGCCCTTTTTGATACAAATAAATAATTTGGTACATATGCTGAAGCCTGTTCATTCCTCATGTGCTTTTCTGCTGATGATGCAGGATCCTGACCCTGTTTCTCATAAAGGTAAGGAACAGAGACATTCAGCAACCTATACAGGGAGTAATTCTCAGCAGCATGAAAGCAGCTTACCCTTTCCAGCAGATAGAGTCTGCAGCAGGTAGTCTATATGTATCTCAGCACCCAGCACACTATCTACAGAGAAAGCTGTACATTACCCTGCTCTGACATGGATCTGCAGTTTTGTGGCCACTGTTTCTGCTCAGACTGCCATGATGATATTCTTTAGCAATTTTGCAGAGAAGGAAAACTGCTGTTTTCCATGCAAGCCCAGGGCTTAGCCTATGGGTCATGTGCCAGAAAGGCCCCTCAGGCCTGCACAGGGGTTGAATCCAGTGCCAAACATCTTTGGCTGCTGATCAACACCAGCTTCCCTCTAAAGGCTGGGTTTCAGTGAGAAGCTGCTGTAGTTTGGCAGCTCTTTGTATAGTTTGGTCTGTTGATATCAGGTTTTCTTCACCGTTCAGTGTGATCAACTGAACAGGAGCTAAATGATTTATTTTTTTAAGTAGATAATGGGGAAAGTTATCATACCTGAGGATTCCCTGTTTCTTGCATAAACCCAGACTTTTCTAAGACTATGTCTCACCTCCTTTCAATAGCACTTGGTGAGGCAGTCTGCCAAGCCACCCATTTCTCAGCTGAGTACCCAGCCTGGAAAGAAAGAAGCACCTCTCCATATTAAATCCAACACTAATTAAAAGAAAAACAACTACAAGTTAGTAGGGAAGACAAATACATCATTTAACTAGCTGTACTGGTGAATGTACAGGTGAAAATGGCTTGTAAGCATTCAACAAGACAAGTGCTCATATTAACACATCTTACAGCAAGGTTCTTAAGTACCCCAGTCTACACAGCAGTGCCACCAAGAAACTCTAGTAAAGTGTTACAGTCTAACGACATATCTCTTGCCTCCACATCAGGCAGATATTTAAATCTAATACATTATCTATCAGCAGACTGTGCATTTATCAACATCTGTCCAGCTATCAGTGAGCACACTGCATCTCAAAGAGGACTGCACTTAATGGTGTGCAGTGGAGAAGTTGTGCTCATCATTGATGGCTGTTGTTTAGGCATGACTGCTTCAGAATGGCAGTGTGAGCATGAGCACTACAAACTGCCCTACATCCCATTCTTATTCCCACTGCTCAGATGTCGCATGACCCAGGCAAAAAAACCCCACTCCTCCCAGTGGGGCAAGCTGGAAGGCTGGGCTGGTCTCACCACTGAGCTTCCACACTTACAACAGCTTCCATGAAGTAAGTAGCACTATCCTCCATCCCTTGTCACCTCTTCCTATTTTTCTGCTGCTCTTCCTCCAGTTGTTTTGCAATCCCCTTGCCAGGGACTGGAAACATGTTTTAGACACTGATCTCCAGCTTTGTGTCAATAGCTTCAGGTGACACATGCAATGCAAGTAAAAGCTTGCTGACTATTGACATAATGATGTCTTGTTGACATAAGAAAGGAAATAAAGCCTTCAAAAACAACAGAGAAGGACTGTTCGAAGTTGAGTGTGCGTTTTCTGGTTATGAGGAACATTTTCTCTCCCCACCTCCTTCGTCCCCCTAAAAAGGGAGGGGGAGTTAAAGGAAAGTAGTTTGGGTCACATCTCCAACAGAGCTGGCACAGCACTACTGAAACATTGGCATTTCACGAGTCCCTGCCAGCTGAAGTTCTGCCAGCCTGTATAAACACATGTTTACACAAAAGTGAGGATCACCCCATTCTTACAAAAGCCATGAATAACTCCAGAAGTAACCCGCCGTTATAGAGAACATGAAAGGTTCTTATTTTCAGCTTCTTTTCCAATTGCACAGGGTATTTGATCAAAAAGATTTGCTTGCCAACTGACTGGTGACTTTTCTATGGTGCCACTTAAGAACATTTGTTTGGTGATAACAAGCCTTTGTTATTAGCAATTTAACCAAAGCCACAGATAGGAAGAGATAAACTGTGCAAATAAAGGGGTATCACACGCTGCCAGTACTGCTAAAGCTATAAAAGCTACAGCTTCCCTGAAAGAACCATCAAAAACTGAGGGGTAACTGTGAACTAAGATACTGCTCAAATAGATGAAATTTAAGCCAGCACAGAAGTCTTAACATTCAGGCCACCTTTGAGCCTTAAAAGGGATTTTCTTTACACACAGGCCAGGAACTGCTTGGCTTGACAGGGAAAGGTGCTTTATATGCATGGAGAAGCAGCAGCCTCCAACTGTCTCGTGGATCCAGGCCAAAGACAATATGAACGTTGTTCACTGTTGATTGTGGTTGGCTTCAGAGCAGGCCTCTAATGCATGAGCTTTGGGAAGCTGAACACAGATGTGCCTGTAGAGAGAACAAATCCTTCCTGGGTCGGTCATGGGTTCTTCCATCTGCAAATCTCATCTGTCAACTCTGAGTAACAGGCTGCCAGGGCGATGCTTTGAATGAAGCCACATCCATTCCCCCCCAGGCTGATATTTTCCCTCAAGCCCTGGAGATGGTGATGTTTACAGACTACAAGTCACTGATGGTGTTGCCCTGTATTAAACATCCAACAGCAGGCAGATACAAAATTGAAGAGGTAAGCCACTCTAGTAAACAGGTCATGTATTTTTTTTCACGTTCTGCAAAAGGATTTCTGCCATCTCATAGACATTTCCAAATGGCAAAAAAACTTTTTACATTTTCCCTAGTGCATCACATGCCACATGCTAGTCACAATTTTACAGTCTTATTAGTAGCAAGTTCAAGAAATGGCTATTTCATTGATCATTTTGTCTTGACACACAGCACTAACTCACTGATGCAGCTATCACTCAATTCAGGGCTTGCTGTAACATCCCTTCAAAGTAATAAAGCACATGCTTTTGCTGGCCTATGCCCAGATACATGCAAATTTATGCAAACACATGCAAATACAACTCTGCTTTTTATTGTCAGCGGATGTTGGCAGGTTTGTAAATATGATGTAGTGAGAAGCAATAGCGAAACAGCAGAGATGAGGCCTGTGAAAGCTGAGATCTCTGCATTTCTTAAGAACTTTTGTTCAATTCTGCCAAACAGTTGTTTAAACAGTCCAGGTCTGGGAGTGTGACAAGTGCTTTAGAAAACCCTCATTTGAGTTAGTCAGTGGGCGATAAAGGAAGTTACAGCAGTGATTTCAGACGTCTGCCCCTCATCTTGTTGTTTAGTCCTGTTAGAAATAATAACTTGTGCAACACTGAGAAATCAGTGAACTCTAATTCAGAACATGTACTGAAGACGAGACACCCTCTGTGAAGCGGTTGTCAAAACATGGCTTTCTCTTCCATCAGGCATCTACCTTCAATCCTATTGACCCAGAAGACATTGTTGCCAGTTGATTGCACAGCAATTCACAAATCATTTCACAGAAAGGATAAGAAGAATCTATTAAAACGCCCCCTTAGATAATAATGGGAATAGAAAAGCACTTACCACATTGCACTCTGACCCTGCTGTGTTCATGCACACACAGCTCAAAGATTTTCTACCCTGTCCATGCCTAAAAGCTGTTGAAGACCCAAACAAAGCCTTGGTCTCCTATACAGGCATTAGCTCAGGTGAGGTTTCAGCTCCTCGCCCTGAAGTGCTTCCAGAGCTGCTATTTGCCATCAGAGCTGGAAACTTGGATTGGATCAGATGACTCAAAGAAGAATCCCTTCACTGGGAAGCACTCAGGAGCCACACAAAACTGTACTGCTGAGAACCTTCCCCATGTAGTTGCACTTACAAGCATCTCTTTTCTTAAGTAGGGTGGCAATGGACAGCTGCTTCAGCTTTCTTTCACAAAGTGCTAAGAAACGGGGTAGTAGCAGCTTGCAGAAACCCTCTCTTGGAGCTCTTGAGTCCAAATGTCTATTCACTCAAGTAAAATACAGCCATGGATGACTCTTCAAGCTGACATGACCTCTTCCATCTGGTCTTTTCCTCCCCCTCAGGTTCCAGCATTCCCAGGCTAGCAGGCACAGTGAAGGTAATTGCACATCATATTTCAACCAGTACCTCTGTTACAGAACCTAACAAGAGGCACAGGCTGACCATGTCCGACAGCAGTATTTCTCAACCTTTTATAACCAAACTTGGCTTGTGTTCTTTCACCGCTACAGGTTTCAGTTGCCACCAAATAAGTACAGGTTGGTTATTTATGTAACAGCCATTTGCTTTGCTTGCCTCTTTGCTTGCAAGCAATGCTTGAGGTTTATTAGTACTCTGTTAACAAAATAAAGTTTTCAGATATTTGAAAGCTCATCTTCTGATATGTTATTCATGGTCCATAGGCTGAGAAACACTGTCATCCCACCCTGATTTAAAGATGCTAGGAACAGGGATGTTTTAGTTTTCCTAAGAGTGCAATCAGCAAGCTGAGGTGGAAGCCATTCCGGAAGCTGCAGGCAACCTAGGATGTGGCACTTTGGTGACAGGAAATGAATGTAGATGCAACTTTCCCTTTCTTCAGCAAATGCCTGACCTGCCAAAAAAATGTAGAAGTTCACAACGTACCCTCTGAAACTGCATGCAGACACCCCAGGGCATACATATACATACTTAACGTGAATTTATATGTGTGACTAAATACATATATAAGCACATCAGGGACTGCAATGAGCTCCAGGAGCCTTTTCATACCTGTATGAAATCCAATCATACCTTGAGCTTTGCTACCACTGTGGAAGAACTACCCATTGACACCTCCTGGGATGTATTTGGACTGCCAGCTAATGCCTGCTTTGTGCTCCTCGATTACAGAGTTACTGCAGTGGGGAACCCCCAAGCCTACACCATGCAACATCAGCCCCATGTCATGACTTGTCCTTGCTGTTCCCCTAGTAAGGACAAACAGCTGTGGAGTGCACAGATGTGTTTGGAAGAAGCAGCAGCAATGTGGATTATGTACCTGATCTCCAGCTTTTCCAGAAGGAGCCATGTGGATTGGCTGATCATTGTCTAAATTTCGGATGCTTGGGTCTGCCCCATGGTCAAGGAGCAACTGGACAATTTCTTTCTGGTTCTTGTCATGAGGCAATGCGGCTGCCATATGCAGAGCTGTGTTGCCATGGGCCTAATGTAAGAGGAGAGAAAGAAAAACAAAGGGAGAAAAAAAAGCTGTGCCACCTACTCAGAATTATCCCAGAAATGAATACTTGTGAAATGAGAGGTGAAGAAGCCTCACATTACTTACTGGGAGGTGAGAGAGTGTCCCTGCTCTGTCTCTCCCATGTACAGCTGCTTGTGCAGGTGATTTGTGGATTTAGATTTTTGTCTCTCATAGATCACTACAAATTGGGGGCCTTTGATGCTTTGGCTGCAGCTAACAGATAGACCTGTATCATGTATATTTATCCAGGAGAAACAATAGGAACTATTTCACTGGAAGCATTTCAGTCAGTCAAAGTGACACAAACCACATTATGCAGTGTTACCCATCACACATGCGCTATGCAAGGATTTACAACAGCAGACTCATTTGTGCTTCACACAGCTCCACTACTCCTTTTTACAATCGTTTGCAAGTGCCAGAAAGTTGCAAAGAGACCTTGACACAAGTGAAAGCCAGTCCCAACAGTGTGTAGGTTATACACAGGGCTCAGAGTGATCCCTTGGATACAAGGCGTCTTTGACTGTGCAAGTCCTCCCAGGCCACCAAACTCAACAGCATTAAAACGTGCTGCTTTGAAAGGTACGAGGCCATCCTGGTAGCCCAGCAGCCCATGTCCCTCAGTGACTTTGGACATGGACCAAACAGGGCTGTAGGTGGCTTGGCTCTGCAGCAGGCAAGATAAATCATGCTGGGCTCCAAACCTGTTCCTTCCAGCACTCCAGACAAAAACCTGAGTTTCCAGGAGCAGGATTTGCACAGAAACAAAGGACAAAACTTGTCGTGGAGCCACGAGAGGGCGCAGGACGGAGGATGCAGCGATTTGCTGCGGAGAAACTCCGGTACCACCAGACCGTGTAGAAATCTGTGCCCCTGCCTAGCCAGGTATGACTGGTAACGGTTTTAAATGAAACACCTAACAAGCAAATGCATAAGGCAAGGTATTTTTAGTCTGCAAGAAGTCTCATTTAGACAGCCGTACTCTTTTTTCCTCTCAGAAACAATCATATACTTGTCATGAACATGGAACAGTTGGGCACCAATTGCAAAGTGTATTGCTATTCCAGTTGTTGAAGGAATACATATGATTTTCAGGCCCTACTTACCACTGATGCACGAAACAAGATAGCAAAATCTTAGCAGTCATTCTCAAGCAAGGCATTTTTTTTTACAAGCCCTGAACAAGCAGATCCTTGTCAATTTTATCATCCCATAGAGTTAAGGGATGGTTACAAGCTCTTTATAGGGCTTCTTGTTAAAATGGAAACATCTGCATTTGTTTGCTGTATCTTTGTGGCAGGAGCACTTGATAGCTTCCAAATCCAGGCATGGGGCTAAGAAAACAAGGCAGTCTGGCAATGTCTTGACTTTTATAGGGCTTATGTGAGACAATGGTCCAGAGCATCAGGTTATGGGCTCTAGGAATCTTTCATGGTAAAAATATCTCAAAGGCCTCAATGCTTTTCTTGCTGTGAAATCCACAAGGAAATGGATTTGGAATGAGACACCACATCAAGCAGCGGGTGAAAGCAGGGAAACTAAAACATGACTTCCAGCATCCCTGTTTTCTTGTCATCTTCGTATCTGGAAGAGCTAAAAAGCCAGGATGGGCATCGGACAACCTCGCCATTATATTTCTCATTACCCCAGACAGCTCAGCAACAAGACTGAAGACTTTAAGTGATCTTATCACAGTAGGAAGCTCTCACAGGATTGTGATCAGAAGACAACAGCAGACTCCCATGGACAAGCTAGCACCTGCCTAATGGCTCTTAAAAGATACAGAAAGAATGTAGTGAAAAGGCAGCGTAAGGGCCTTCACTGTACAGAAAAACAGAAACCCAGTGTTATTAACCACAAACACAGAGAAAACATGTTTCCTCCAATCCAGCAGAGATCTGTAGGGGAAAAAATTGTGAAGCTGCCCAGTACCTGCTTCCCAAGTGAGCAACTGAGTTGACAGAAAACATTAAATCCCTTTCTGAATGGATACAAGCATGTGGGTGCTCTATGGAGTACAAGCAAGGCTAAGAGACTGAAGCTGTTGAAATGAAAAGCTAACGCTCTGACCCTCTCAAAACAGGGATCCTTAGCCCTGTCCTCCCCTCTGTCCTTTCCTTCTACAGAAGCACCCAGAATCATGCACTTATTCCTGCTGAGAGGGGACATCTAGTCAAGAGGCGAAGCTCAAGCTGATTGTACAGAGCTATGTCTCAGTTAAGGCACAGGAATGTCAGCATTTTTGCTTAGGAGGATGGGTGAAGCTGATACAGCTGCAAGATAGTGTCACTGCTCGGTATCTGCTCAGAGGTGAAGTATGGGGCAGCAAGGGGATGGGTGACAACAGCATCACTGGGAAGGTTTTTAGCTTGCTTTATACAACCTGGGAATGGCTGTGCCTCCAGAAACCCTGCACTGAGGAACCAATGTTAGTAAAACTTCAGCTCAATAAGCAGCACTGGACAGAGTGCCTAAAACAGGCTCTCAGGCCCCTACAGTTAGATCTGCTTGCCACAGCACTTAGGCTTCTGCATGCTTGGCAAGGATGCTCTCTTTTTTGCAAGAGCTGGTTTCCCCATGCTTCACCTGCATGGCAATGTCAGCCACTGTTTCACTGCCCATAGCATGCGTCTGTCTTTTGTTACTGCTCCTGGCAGCTGTTAGGGCTTGGCGGGCCCTGTGAATGTTTTGGTTCTCCAGGCTCAAACTTGCAGGCAGCCATCATAATAACCAGTTTGCATCCAGGCACAAACAGAGCCAGAAGACTAACAAATAACATTTAAGGCAGAAAGAGCCACCATGTCCCTTAACTGAAATAGGAGCTTTGTCCTTCCTGTGAATGGCATGCTTGACAGGAGAGATTACTTGTTACATGGCTGCCCTAAACTGCTGTCATTCAGTATTACATTGCTGCCAACACCAAACCGTCGCATCATTGCAGATCTGTTTTCTCAGTCTTCAGCCTAATGTGATAAAGTTCATGTTCCTCCTCAAGCAACCACTTCCCACATTTTTCCTTTTCCCCGGTTATCTCGCTTTTGCACTGTAAGCTTCTGCCACCTGGGAGAGGGACCTGCACACAACTCTCAGTTCAAGCAAGGTGCTGCTTTCCAGGTGAAACATTTCTTTACTGGAAAATGCAATTTCAGGTTAAAAAAAGAAATTTAGAAAAAGCTCAGATTCACAAACTGTTGCTCTTTCCCTCCAGAAAAAAACATCTGTGGAAAGAGAACAGAACAGAAGATCTCCTAATGCCTCTGTCTGCATCAGCCTTGCATCGCAGCACAGCTCTCGCACTGCTCTCAGCATCTCTGCCCGTGGATGTGCACACAAATCCTGTCCCCACACGGCCTGACTCACCTTGTTGTTGACAAAGTCCTTGGACTTGAAAGCATTCAACTCCAAGAAGTATCTGAGCAGCGAGAGGTTCCCATCCTGCACTGTATAATGAAGAACTGTCTTGTTGCTTTTGACATCCTATATAAAAACAGAAAACAACAACGACAAGTTCTGCAGAGCAACCTGAAGATGTTACATAAATCAGAGAAAAGCCCAGGCAAGCTCTGCAGCTCACATGGAGCACCTTCTTCCCTTTGGTGGCCCTCAAACTGTCCAGTTTCTGCTTCAAGCTGCAATAAAGTAACTCCAAAAGGCAGCAACTAACTCTGCAAACAGTCACTTTTAAGTGGAACAGGCTTGGTCGTGCAGTCAGCAGTTCATTCTTTCTCCAGTTCTACAGTTTGAGCACAGCACAAGCATCAGGCAGGACAAGTGGGAGTTCCCACACAAAGAAACAGCATATAATTGAGCTGATTCCTTACCCTGCTGTAGATGGAGGCTCCTGTTTGCACTAGGAGCTGGATACAGGACTCCAGCTCTTCACTCTGGTGCTGAAGCTTTTTCTGCTGTTCCTCAGGCAACATCTGGCAACCCTGCTCTCGGAGCAGGGAGTTGTGGGCCAGAACAGCACAGTGGAGTGGAGTATGCCCTGGAAAATCAAGTATGGGAGACGATAAGAACAGTCCCAATGACACTATTGATGTACAGAGAGGAAGAGAACCTGGTTGGGAAACGTATGCATCTCTGCACCTCTGTTGCTAAAGTACAAGCCCTTCTCTGTTTCAAAAGGCACTTGTTGGCTGTATAGACACTTTCTGGGGCTCTCCATCGTGTGCTCAGTTCCAATTGTGCATTGAATCACTGCTGAATTATCAGCACAATTGATTTCTGTGGTACTTGAGCACACAGCAGAACCTTACCCAGTCAGTTTCTGAGGCCACTCTGGCCTCCTAGGACACCACAACAACTACACCTGAGCATCAGACAACAAAACAGCTGGTGTTTATTTTTATTTAATACTACCATAAAATATTTGTGCAAAGGTTTTTACCTTCAAAATCCTTCATTTCTAGATCAAGAGGGAAACCTATTGACAGTATAACCTAGAAGCAAGAGAGAATTGGAACATTTTAGTTCAGCAGAATATTGTCCAAGCCAAAATGAGTCAAAACAAACAAAATCTAAAAACAAAAAGTCAGATAACTATCATTTATCTACAAACTAAGTCCTTATTTGACACTAGATGTCAGTGCTTTAAACGTATTTCCTAACAGGAACATTCAGGGTTACACAAGATGCTCATAGTCCCTAGTTTCCTAAACCCCACCTAAGCATAGCATCCCATTAAATTCTCAGTTCAGGACAATAAAATCAAGTCATTGCCCCAGCTCAAAAGAGCTAGCCTCCTTGCTTTCACCCTATATTAAGCAAAGGTACCAATAACACCAATTCATATTTATTCTGAGCCATTCTTGACATGGATAAATGAAAAACTCTCCTTGACATATACAGCCGATCTTTTAGATAAGGGAGTTCACTGATTTTGGAAATTACCAGACTGAATTCATTTACTTTTTCTTTTTAATGTGCAGCAGGTGAGCAGAAGTGTGACAGGTTAAAACCACAGCTTGCTGCAATGGCTGCATCAATGATGATGCAAACCCTATAAATGTGACGAAATAGTGGTCTAAAGATGAGCATTGCCTGGATTTAGAAAAGAGTAAAATTTTTAACTCTTTAACTTAAGAAAATAATAGCTTAGATGTGAGACAGCCAAGTAGCTCCTTGTATATATTATTACAGATAATGCATGTTTTAGTCTTGATTAAATAAAGTTGTTCACATTATAGCATCTTGGCTGAGAAGTTTTGCAGTGCAGTGACTCACCCAGAACCTTGCGGAGTCAGACAAGGCACAGGACAGAATCCTTCTACAGAAAGATTACCCAGAACGGTTAGGGCTTGTGCTCCCTTTTCATAACAATAATATAGTATATACAGATCAAATATTGACAAGTAGTTCTGAGCTGCCTGATGATTAGAGATTAGGTGTTTAATCCACTAAGAAAAAACCCCAATTAAATAAACAAACAAACCATAAAGCATTCCATGGCTTTGACCACACCGAGGAGCAAGCCTGTGTGCATTTTCTTTTTTCATGTAAGGAAAAAAGCCACAAACAAAGCAAACCACCACAGGGCACTCTGGGAGCTTCTGTTGGAATCATCTGGATGTAAAGCACTTCCTCCACTGTATAAAACACTGTTTTCTAAAGAAGTCTCAATGTTATACTGCCTGCTCATGACTTAACCCAAGGTGTGCACGAGGCAGAGCTAATGAATACTGGATATGGACTGCCAACTTGCCAGGTACCCCCTGGCACTTCCACTCACACATCCTCAGAGGACCCATGAGCAGATGCAGACCTATGATCTGCAGAATTTATATGCCCCCCCAGATACACTAAAGCCATTTCCTCTGTAACAGGAGGCTGATTTAGCTGCTGTCTTGAAACAGGAATAACCTGGGAAGTCGATTCCTAACACAATGGAAAAGGAGACTTTGGTCAGCCTTCATTGCTTATTGACATCTTGCTTTCTGAGGAAATTATTGGAAGACATCAATATTGAGACTTTATTGTAGGTTCATATTGCTAGCAATTAAAGCATAAAAGCTTTTCCTACCTGAAGAACTTGGGCATAGCCATATGTTGCAGCAAGATGTAAAGCTGACTGCCCTTTGTTGTCTACAGCATTGACATCCGCTCCTGCCTGGATTAAATCATAGACAATAGCTGGCTGCCTGGCAGTGACAGCCACCAGCAGAGGAGTCTGGAAAAAGTAGCACAGCAGATAAAATGTGAGTCTAGAAGAGGTGCTGTCACAGAACAAGGAAAAGGGAAAGGCAGTCTGGGCTAAATGGCACCTAGAAATGCAACAACTGTGGTGCATGAACCAAAGACAAATTTTGAATCCCACATATTAGGACCCATGCTGTCACGAGATGAGGGGTGTTTTCCAGGTCTCTAGAGTGTTCTTTGGCCATAATATGGATGACAACCCAAGTTTAGCATTTTTGAAACTCCATTTAAAAGCACTGAAGCAAGTATTATCAGTGCCCATGGCTTCCTTTGCAGTAACACAGAGACAGCTAGATTTTTCAGAGCATCAGTTGTTCTCAGTCATGCAAAGCCCATGCCCATCCCAAACACAGTTGTTTGCAGGAGAAAGTGTTCCATATTACCTTTCCTCTGTGTTCCTTGACATCAAGTCTTCGCAGCAATTTCATGCGCTCTGCAGCTGCCAATGTATACGCCCTCATACCTTTAGCTGCATAAATATGTAGAATTCTAAGATAGTAAATAAAGACACTGATCACTGCTTGGTTGTGAACCATCCTGGGAGCAAACAGTTTTTCAGGGCAGTATAGCTACTTTGGGGGTTTTGTACCCAGTGTTCCACAAAACCATACTATAAGCCCCAAAGGTCATGATCTTGACAGCGCCCTTCCCATGCAAAAGGCTTCCTACCTCAAAATAACTGCAGTGCTCAAGAGCCCTCAGCACTCCTGAGCTTTCTCATGCTGTCTCCTTTCCACTTCAGCACTTTCTTTCAGGTGAGATTTGCTGTTGTGTTGGGAGGTATCCACGTCCTCCACAAAGCCTAGTGTTGGGGCCCAGCGTACCATATTGTACGTATGTATGTATTGCTTATTGGGGTGATACAGCCTTGTATGCATTGGTGATAATTTACTATCTAGGGTAGCAAATAGCCTCTTCTAAATGGTGTATTTGTAAACAGCTTGTTAAGCTCCACTTCTTTATCAAAACTACTGGAAAGAGGGAGTCCTTATCATGTGCATAAGACAAGGAGTTGTCACTACCCATGGCAGTTAATGGCCTTGCTGCTGACATGGCCCTTCGTGATGGGAAACACAGGTCACTGCTTCTTCACTTTGATTGTCTGGCTCTACGCTGAAGCTGGAGAGAATTACACAGAGCCACTTGACACTTCCATTCCCCCAGGTCCTAATTGTGTGAACAGGCAATTCCCATCCTACAGGCAGTTGTGCCAGTCCCTGGGTTTGTTTCACTCCAGCAACATTTGGTACACTTCAGTCAGAAAGTGGTAGGGCAGTTGTTCCTTTCCTCAGGCTGTTTTGGACTCCAGAGTCACACCTTGCAATTTCAGGAAGTAGAAATGCAACTTTATGGCTAGTCTGATTTTCCGTCAAGCTGACCATTAGCTGTGGCTGCACACCCAAACATCCCCAGATAATAGAGGATAATAGTGATTGAAATAACATCTGAACTGAAGGAATGCTTCTGTGGGTAAAGAATGCTTGAGTAAAGGGTGCCTCCAGGCCATGTTTGGATCATGGATCTCCTACTTCATCTGCCTTAATGTGCAAAATTAACAGAAAGTCTAACAGCTAATCGGTGGTTCTAGCCTCTACATCTGCTATTGAGCTAATTGATTGCTAAGCCAGGTCTGGGTTACCCTTTTGGACAGGAAATAAAACACTCTAGGCATATGAAAGTTACTGTAGATCTTTATTGAAAAAGATTTTGTCTCTCTAACCAGAACAACCCAGAAAGAAATTCTGAAACAGTTCATCATTGTTTTATATTCACACACAGAATTTACATACATTGGAGTGAAAGAAATTTAAAAGCAATGTTAGCAACCACAGGCTTTATTCACAACTGTATTACCCCAGTTTTACCTACTGAATGTGTTTGCATTTATAAAACTGGAGTAAGCAGCGGTGAACTAAGCTCCTTCTAATTAATTTCTTTGCTGGGTTTTTCTGCAAATATAAGCCACTAATTTCTATGCACCTGAACTACTGCTATTTTCAAACACCTTTATGATCACTTACATGATCTATTGATTATATCTTCCAAATTTGTCAATATTAAATAACAGAACACGCTTTCAAAGTCCTCAAGACTTTCATCCTGAGCTTGCAAACCTCACTCAGGCATAAAGTGTAAGGTCACTCGACATACTGCCTGGGTGGCAACAGGAGTGCTGGACACCAGGTAATAAAGAGTGCAATAAGTTATTTTGCAGTTAGTCTTGCAAATAATAAAATCACCTGAGGATCCTGGGCTTTAGAAAGCAGAAAAACCCAGAGAAATTGTGTTCACCATTAAAGAGACCCCTGTTTATTATGATAACAATAAAGAGAGCTAGAAAAGGATATCTCCTGCAAATATATTTGCCTGTGGCATGGCACTCCTGAACATCAGCAATAATATTCACAGTTGCAATAGAGGACAAAGTAAAGCTACTCATCTTGCAGGAAAGAAAATCAGAAAGCTATAAAGAAAATGTGTGTACCTGTGGGCCTGCGATGTTACAGCACAGAGAAATGTTCCATAGCAGTAAGGCACAAGAGAAGTTACTAAGGTTCTCTGGCTCAGCATGACATCACTGACTTCACACTCAAATGCTACAGAACGAGTTATACCTTTGTGTGAACTCAAGTGTTTCATCTAGGCTACTTCATGTTGCTCTGTAAATAGGGATGTCTGACTGCACTGACGTTTATTTCAGCTGTATTGACTTTCTGTCTTTAGACTAATGCACCTACCAGCACCAGTAGAACAAAACTGCATTTTATATTTTTCTATTTTCCAAAGGAACAGTTCAATTTAGGAAAGAAAAATGTCAACTTAAACGCCAAAAATGTTTTCCAGTGGCCCAGATCAGGTAGAGGTTCCTCCACAGACAGGGAGGCACACACACACAAGGCATTTACACTGAGCTCTGAAAAGCAGTCCTACTGAACTAGGTCTTGTCGGTATTCAGAGGTAAGTGTACCTTCAACAAATGCTACAGTTGGCCGTGGCTACACTATTCTACTTCAGTTTGAGACCATGCCTTATGTGTGAGGATGAAAGTGACCTTGTGCTGATGCTGGGCACAAGAATTATACAATACCAAAAGCCTGCCTGGGAGAGTTAGCAGGAACTGTAACAGCAGAGAAGTCTTGTGCTAAGCCTCAGGACAAAGCAAGTTTCACACAACACACAACTCATGGTGTGCTAAAGGTGGATTCCAAAATCACAAGTAAACTTCCCACCCCCAAGCCTGCTTTTCCTCTGTACTCAAAATTCACTGTGGTGCCAGATGGAGTATTGAGTAGGTGAGGATCAGGCCTCAGATGCACAAATTAAAGCCCTTCAACAGAGAGAGCATGGTTTAAAACATACGTATCGTTGTCTTCATCTTCTAGAAGTAGCTTCTCAATGGGCAGTGTGCTGATGACTCGTCTGGCATCCTCCAGCTCCTGCGGGGCTGGTTCAGGAATGGAGATGGGCAAGGGCACAAACTGTGGCCCAGAAAGTGTGGAAGAAGCTGTCTGGTACTGCAAAGTGGAGGCTGGCAGTGCAGAGAGGGGCTGAGCCCATGGGAAGTATGTGAGAGGCGGCTGCTGATCCGTCACCTCAAGCTGAGGCACTACAGCGGGGGTGGTACTTCGGGGCTGTTAAAATGGAAGAGAAACAAAACAAAATAAACCCATTGGCAATGAGGAGCAGAGGAAGGACCCAAACCCAGAAACTAAGGATGCTTGGTCTCGCTTTTAACATCCCTTTTCCTGTCTCTCTGGGTGAAGTGTTACATTGAGTGTGAGTTTTCCCACGCTGGCTCCCATGAGAGCAGTGGCTTGTGGGTGTCCCAGGTGCTTGCTGCCAGTAGCTCACAGTCATGTCAAGTTCCCTCTAGCTTTCTGTTCCCATTCCCACCCTCACTGTAGGCCCATGAGACAGTTACACCCAGTGCTGAAAACTGCATACTTTGACAGTCACTCTCCCAGGTTGAACGCATGGCCGCAGCTTTGCTGCCACAAGGCTGAAGGTGGCTTATTCTGGCCTCTGCAGTAGTCTAACCTGACCAGCCCCTGTCAGCCAAGGCAGAGCCATATTTGAAATGATAGCGAAGGCACAGGACACAGGCATGTACCTTGGCTGATTTGGTGTCAGCTGCAATCACTGAACTGAAACACTGAAAGGAAAATAAGCCGCTTGAGTTCTACTGAAACAGAATTTTCTGTCCTTATCCTCTAAGGAAGGGCAAATCATCTTGGGTCAGATTTGGCCAGTCTGAAACCAAATATTCTGCTCTGTTGATGTGCTGTTTTGGCCTTGTTTGGAATTAAATAACGATACTGCTTGATACCCTGGATACTGCTTAGGACTGTGCCCTAATCCTTATTCAACGACTTATTGACTATAATGTGCATCCACTCAGTGAACTACTTTAATTCTGCTTCCTCAGCTATTCCAAATCCAAGCAGAAGAACAGCTCAAGTTGGAAGTGATGACAAGAGTAAATGTAATATTCCCTATTATTACCCTTGAGCTGCAAACAGTACTCTCCTACTGTTAATAACTGTTAACAGACCTGAAAAAACTCAGGGCAATGGTAGTCCTGCTGCTGACTTGATGAGAGATGACTCATTCCCAGGACAACAGCAAAGAACAGTGTATGTGTTAATAACATGGAAAGTCTGGAGGAGTGCAAAGGGCTGGGGAAATGGCAGCGAAGTATGCCCTATTTCATTGCAACCACAACAAAAAGTTATGGAAAAACTCCTGCTCAAACCACACTCATGTCCACAGTGCAGAGAGAGCCACTGCTAGAACAACTATGTAGCATGGGTGCAAAGACACACAACATTATAGTAATTAAATAAATTAACTAGTTACATGCTGCAGTTCCCATGGCTCTCACTAGAAGGTGGGGAATTGCTGTCATTTGTACCTAGGTATTTTAGACTTACTGCAAAATTGGTGATCAATGGTTGAGAAGCGTAAGTCAGAACAGATGAAGGTCCAACCAGCGTGTAACTGGGACACATAGGCTGAACATACATATCTGCTGTGTACGGGCAGCCAACTGCTTCGTGGGGCACATAATCGGGGTAAGTGGTCCACTGAGTTAGAGGCTGTAAGGATGAGGGAGAGGGCTGGGGGATCCAGCCAGAACACAGCGGTCCTTCATCTGTGACAGGCAATGCAGAGGCAGCAGCATCCATATCAGTGCAAGGCTGGCCTAAAAAAACAGGAGAGAATTAAAACCCAGTTCAGCATAGCCTTCCCTGCAGCAGGGCTGACAAACACTTAGAAAGTCAGGGGAACATTACCCATTGGTGAATAGGAAGGAAGAGGCTGGTGGGGCAAAACAACCTAGAAGAGAGGAAAAAAAATATTCAGAGATGAACACCATAAGCATTAAATTCAATCCCCTCTGAGAAGCACTGAGTGACAAAGCATATTAGCTATTATCAGACGATTATCAGCTACCACTTCAGTGTCAGTGCCTGAATACCTGCCTCTATAGAATTTAAACCTTGTGTTGCAGAGGGAATTCCTCTTCAGAGAGCAGGCAGTCAATATCCTTCCTCCTGATACAGACAGATAGAGGTAGGCTGAAACTAAGAAACAGATAGCCAAGGATGGCTCTGGCTTGTCTCTTTTTGTGCTCTTGAACAAGCTGCTTCTAAGCCACTTTCTGTTCTAGGAGTTAGATCCTGCCAAGTGCAAAACACTTTCACTTTTCCATTAGGTCAATGCTGATCAAAGGTGTTCAGCACCCTAAAGGCACTCCACCTAAAGATACATTTAGTAGTATCTCCAGGTAACATGAGGATGCACTGCCTTCAAAATGCTTTAGAGAAGCAAAGATTTCTTCCATTGCCAAAGCATTGCCAGCTCATGCCAGACCTGGTCAGTCATTGAGTGTCTGAGGAAGAACTTTCTGCTTGTGTTTGTTTTTTTCTCCTACCGTTGTAGCTGCCGTTGCACTGGCGTTATGAACATTGCCCCGTTTCCTTTTCAAAAGCTCCTTCACTGGCTCTTTGACACGGACACCTTGGTAGGGGCGAGGTTGCGGCTGCTGTTCTGGAGCA